TGGGGGAGGGGAGCGAGCTCGAATGGCATTAGGACCGCTGGTCGGCCCATTGTAGGACGATGGCGATGAGGGAACCGCAAATTCAGATAGTGGGTGGAAGGAGTTCACGCGGTAGAAGAGCTTAAGGTGGAAAGGTGTGGTCTTTTGACGGTCGATCTGCGGTTTGAGCGCCTCTCGAGGTGCAGCCATGATGGCGAAGTCGTCACGCGATTCGTAAAGCTAAGATATGGGCCTCTCAATTCCTTTAGAGTGAACAGTTTGATTTCAATCGTGCGGCTGCGAGCTGGCGACGTCGGTGGTTGAGGTGTTGTCTTGTCACGAGAGCGAGAGCTATCTGGCGGAGGAAAGAAGCTCGCCCGCCGAATCTGGCCGTTTGCACCACCGCTGCTTCAAGATCATTTTTTACATCTCCCGCAGCTCTCATTACACGCTACATTTTTGATTACTTGTGATAGCCTAACTGGGGACTGGCATAGTCTGTTCAAAACACAGCCATGGATTTCGCATCTTTAATGGCCAAGGAAATCTCCAAGGCCAAAAGTCCCGCCACGCCCAGCTCAACATCATCAGGATCAGAGCAAAAGGAACCCACCAAAACCGAAGATAAGAAATACGTTCGACGCGCCGAACTCGAAGCCGCCAGAATCGCCGCCTACAATGCAGAGCAGGAGCGCCTACAACGCGAACGTGAGGAGCGCCAGGCCCAGAAACGCAAACTCGAAGAGGAAGAAGCAGAGCGGCGACGCGAACGCGAAGAGAAGAGACGGCGATTAGCCGAGGAATCCCGGAAGAAGCGAGAGGAGGAAGAGGCAGCGAAAGAGCGAGAGCGCAGGAAGAGACTAGGTCTACCTGATCTGCCACCCGCGGGCGAGAAGGATGAGTCGACTCTCGGAGAGGAAGAGGTGGATATACCGGACGAGGAGCTGAACCAGAAACTTCGCGACCTCAAGGAGCCTATTTGTCTATTTGGAGAGAACCATGTTGCTCGTCTGCGGCGATACCGCCGTCTTGTCCGTCGGTCGATGACACCTCAGCCGAAGCTGACAGACGGGCCTATCCCTACTATTTTGGAACCAGTATCGGAGGTGGACATGAAGATTCCGACCGCTCTTCCCAAGGACCCAGACGCTCGCAAGTTCTTGTTCCGGCAGTTGGCCTCGTACTTCAACATGGTGCTGCTGGAGTGGGAGCGTGCTCTCGCACGACGGGATGCCTCGGTCAAGCAGAGTCTAACCGGTCGCCAGGCCTACAACGCGATGGTTCAGTCGAGAGAAAATTTGAAGCCCCTCTTCCGGAAGTTCGAGAAGAGCGATATAGACGATAACCTGTTAGAGCCCATCATGGAGATCGTGCACAAGGCTCAATTGCGGAGATATGTTGACGCCAACGACGCATATTTACGCGTCAGTATCGGAAAAGCGTAAGTGAAGCTCTACCCCTGCGCCTAATTCTATTCTAACAACCTGGTACAGAGCTTGGCCTATTGGTGTGACTATGGTTGGTATCCACGAGCGATCAGCCCGAGAAAAGCTGCACCAGAGTGATCAACAGGCACACATCCTCAGTGACGAAATTACCAGAAAGTTCTTGCAGAGTATCAAGCGCTGCTTGAGCTTTGCGCAGACCCGCTGGCCTCCGGATGATCAGTTGCAGATTATGGGTTAGTGGTGGATGTAGTCGAGAGCGAAGACTTTGCCAACCTAGTGATGATAATGATAATATATACCCTGTAACCTAGCCTGTTCCCGAATTAGTGCTATATGCTCTGCAATATGTCAATTCAATATGTTCAATGATGTATTTGAGAATACCAGCGACTATTACACAACGGGCTCTGATAGAGCCATGAATATCTATGCTGAAATATATACGTGCGCCCTCAATTCTATGACCTCCAAAACCGCACCATCCAGCTCCATACGCCATCCAGACTCGAGGGGGACCGAGCTGTGGCCTCAGAATCGATCTTCTCCAGTTGCTGATAATAATCACCGTTTTGATAGAATTCGTGGCCCTCCATGCCGTTCATCACACGCAAAGATGAGCTTTGCGGTCTGGAAGAAGTTGGCGTTTTACACTCAGATTTATCATCCCCGGTATGTGCTCTTATAAGTCGACCTGCCGTCTGCACGCAACTGCCGTAGGCAAACCGGATCAGGGAATCGCCGGTGAGACTGCCAATGATAAAGACGTCTTCGGCGACTTCCAGATCCTCCAAGGCCTTCGCTCTCAATGTCTTGCCCGATATGATAGGGTCTGGTTCCGTTCCATCTGAGCACCCGAGAACCTCGGAAAGAAGGGGCTTGTCCAGGTAGCCAAGGCTTCCACGACGACCAGTAGCATATACCAGACCACGCACGGTCCGTTCTATTGTGCTTCCGTCGGGCAGTTGTAAAGTTACCACTGCAGATTCCGATTGCATCTGCACTGCAATCACTGCTGCATTTGGAAGGCCCTCGTAAACCGTATCCCAGGCCCGGCTTTCGAGGAACCGAGAGGACGCTGTCCGCTTTGGCTTGCCAGGGCGTTTGGCTGTAGCTGGCTCTGCGGCAAGAGCAGCTCTCTTCATCAGTCGATATACCCCCGCATATTCCGGGTATGCGCGCTGGTGACAGCTGCGGAGTGGAGAGGGATGTCCTTCCGGATCCCATTTGAATATATGAAGGATCTTCTGGTCCGCCGGAGCAGATATTATGATATCCGCGGCTGAGAAGCCGGATCCTATAACAAGGAGCGGTATCTCCGGAGTCGGCTGAAGAAGTCGTAGGGGTTGTAGCATCGGAAGGGGCTGCAGCACTTCCGAGAATATTCCACTCGCCAGGACCAGATGCTTGCAATGAATATTGTGAGAGGAAATGAAGAAACCATTAGCAGTTCTTGTGATACCGCTCAGAGTCTCGTTATTCTGAAAAGAGTCATCAATTCCAACCGTCTCAGGATAGACGCTGAAATAGTCCATAATCTCCCTCCTGGTGGGCCGCGTGAATGCGGGAAGGTCTTTGCCATTGACCTTGTGGTAGTGTTCAGCAAAGGAATATCCGGGCAAACACAGCATTGACGCATAGCTCAGAGTTTGAATATCCCAGCTAGCGAATACCAGGTTGTCATTCCATTGACCACCGGCCTTCGGCGCATTGCCGAATACCAAGTGCGGGACAGCCTTTTCAGGCACGTATCGCCATTCAACTCTTGTTTCACCCTCTCCCTCATCCACATCGATGCTCGGTCGAACGAGTGTGTCAAGTAGAACATTTACTGGGAGAGCCTGCGTCGAGTACGATAATCGAGAGGCATGGAAATGCTCGGTCAAAGTCGTTACATCCGCATCCAGTAAGTCCGGATTGTCCTTAAGCTTCGCATGGAGCAGAGGGTCTGGATGCGGGCGATTTATAGAGTAGTACGGGAGATGACCATGGAGAATAAATGACAGGATCATAGCCGATGGCCCGTTCCCTATCGATCGGAGTCTCAAAGTCAATCAAGTGGTCACGGTGATTGGCGAGAAACGATTTCACTCCCTTGAAGAATGGCGACATACCGATGATTATGGTGTCAGTTTCCATTGCAGGCATCTTGTGTGCCCCGGGCCGCGGCTTCAGCGCGGGGCATTCTGCATCAGACATGCGATGGTAGACAGCTTGATAACGGTCTCAGTTATTGTGGCCCCGATGAACCAGTGAATCTGTTTACTACCTTCAGATGAAGGTTGATCGACTGGAAGGCCATTGAGAAGTAAACAAGGTCATATTCTGATTAGTAGTGATTACATGGGGGGAAGTTTATGGAGGCTCGTATTGGGGGTTCGACCATAAACGGGGTTCGCTGACAAAACAAAAAATGCGTCTAGTGAGCCATGACGGTTTTGAACCGGAGGACGGTACGGAGCAATCAAGATCACCGAGTGGCGTCCGGCTACGAATGAAATCAGATTGCCTTGTTTAAGCCTGCCAGATCGAGCCTTCTGCCTTGTTCAGGCTGCCTTTTCCAGGACAAGTAACTCCGTGGACCGGTCCGGATCGTTTGTATGCGCAATGTACGATGTACCGGAGTTATAGGCTAAAGAGTAGAGTGACATATGCAGCTCCTCGGCGCTGACCCAAACAGCGTGAAGTCATCGTGAGAATCGCTGGCCGAATTCGGGATCCGGTTGCGGGGTTGTGTTTCCTGATACGGTATGTAGGGCTTAGGGTGGCCTAGGAACGTGGCCCTATGCCCTATTTACCAGATTTGGACACAGCTGACGCATTGATCCGTTACTAGGCCTCTTGGATCCTGGGGATCGTCGTCCCGGATAGGGAGGGACAAACGATGGAATAATCGAAGACATTCAGGAAGTCGGGGTCGAAAGTCTCTGCGCTGCCATGATTGTCTCACCTAGGGCTTGGCTACCTTTGTCTTGATTGGAAATTAGAGGCTTGCGTTCCCGAGTGCTGGACTGGCCTCCATAGGGCGTCCGACCGCAACTATGTATCATCTGGCCAAGTCTCTATACCTCTACGCTACCAGCAAAGAGGGTAAGGATCACACGCCTCGGTCTCCTTGCGTTTGCATCGCTGACAGACGGGCTCAGAATACTCCGTCCTGCTACTGGGATTAGACAACGCGGGGAAAACTACGCTCCTATCGCAAATAAAGGCCCTCTATCTGCCCCGTCCGGATGGCGCCGCGGCTCCCAATCCAGGCAAAACCGTGCCTACCGTCGGCCAGAATGTCGCCACGATTCCATTACCGGACATGTACCTGAAGATCTGGGATGTGGGCGGTCAAATCTCGATGCGAAATTTGTGGCAGAGCTACTATTCGAGCTGCCACGCCATCATCTTCGTTGTTGATAGTACGGACGTAGGACAAAATCCAGACATCACCCGTTTACCCTCGAATCGGAAACCTGGCTCGTTGTCGGGCCCATCCGCGCCCGGAAGTGATGCCGTTACCGAAGAAATGGCAGGGATCAATGCGCCAGGAAGCGAGTTTGGACGGCTGGACGAGTGTCGCCAGGTACTGGAATCCGTGTTACAACACGCCGATGTGGCTGGAGTCCCTATTCTAGTGCTGGCCAACAAGCAAGATCGGGAAGATTGCGTTGAAGTTGTCCGCATCAAGGAGGGTCTTGTGCGCAAGGTCTTTGAGGGTGAATCCGGTGGCGGAGTGCGCGATACTCGCGTGTTGCCTGTCAGTGCCTTGATGGGTTCTGGAGTTCGGGAAGCAGTCGAATGGATCCAGAGTCGAGTCAAGTGGAATAAGGAGGGACGACCTCCCATCATGAAATGAGGCTCAGTGTGGTCCCAATCGTGATGTGACTGCAGGCCGCTGCTGGATGCTAGTTTGGTCACGGCTAGCTCCTCTATCTCTGGGCAGCGGAATGTTGATACCCTTCTTGTTGGTGATTGATTATCTGTTTTCGGCGCTGGAGGGTTTGTTTATACAAGATACCTAGATAGTTCTGTGTATATATTGCTTGCATCAACCATCCGATTCCATGACGGAGTGTGTCATTTTGACTGAATCTTGTGCTATCATAGTAATAGATAAGACAAAAATGAAACTATCGCGAACTTCACGGACTCGCTTGCCCGGCTTTCCGAATCACCACGGTACCAAGAACCTCCAATCTCAATAGCGGAGAATCTATGATGTATAATCGTATAAAGGTACCATCAACGGGGTATATGCGCAATCGCGCGAGTGTCGAGGTTGGAACTTCTCCGCATCATGATTCCATTTTTGACGTCACAACACTGGCGGATGCAATCTGAAGTTGGATACCCCGGTTGCTTTTTGGATCGCCAAAATGATTACCTCTCCATCCAGCGAGAGAGTTGACAGTGGAAGAGGAGAGTATGATATGACCATGAGGTCACTCCATCAGCTTGACGTCATGTTCTGGTTCTACCCTTGGGCCCCTGCACCTCAGTAGATTAGATGAGACGATGTTTCTCTACACAGAGCCTTATAAAGACTTTGCCAGCAGTTGTTAGATTATCATCAACATACTGATCCATCAGCCACTACACAGAACCAAGCACACGACCTTCTACAAACTAACCTGCAACGACTTCAACATGAGCCACACCGCCAACCCCGATTCCTTCGACAATGCTAGCAACCAGGACTTCGTCCATCCCAGAGTCCCGCCTACAGCTCCCATAGAAAAACATGGCGTAAGTGTCCCTTGACTTCGAAACGAGCTATGCTAACCCGTGAACAGCACCAATTAGGCCAAAAAGTCAGCCCTGCAGACTTCAAGCCCGAGTTCCGTGCCGAGACTCATCCTCCCGGCACTGCTCCCGCCAGCAGTTCGTACACACCGAACACCACCGGAGAGTCCGGCGGCCAGGCCTTGAACCCCTTGGTCGAGCGCAGCCATGGAAAAGAGGCTGTCAAGACCACTGCCGAGTCAACCTTGAGGGGAGCCACCTCCAAGGACGTCCACAAAGGTCTGGGCCACCCCGGCTCTGGCCAGACTAATACTGAAATCAGGCATGACGGCCAGCACCACCGGAAGCGCGAGGGCGCCGGCCTCGAAGGAGTCGGCAGCTACCGCCAGGACAAGTTTGAGCGCACACTGGCTGACCAGCGCGGTCTTGAGCGCGAAGAGGCCCGGCCCGGCCAGCACGGCGACAAGGGCGTCGCGGCTGCCGAAGATATCCCTCCGCAGTCGGCAGAGACAGCGGCCCATGAATGGAAGTATGAGCCTGGTACCAAGAGGGGTAACGCTGCCAGGCAATAGGTGAGTTCAAAAGCGGGATGAGATTTTTTAGTGTTCTATTTTCATGTCTTGTATAAATCATCCAGTTAGCGTGGGTATCAAGGTAGGCATTTGCTATGCACATAAATGGAATGGTTCTCAAATGGAACCAAAAAAGTTGGAACATCAGAATGAACATGATCCAGTCACGCGTAGACATTCGCTCACTCATGGAGCAACACGCTCCTGGCTAGTTTGAGCTCTGTTGTTGAGGTGGTGACTCTTCTCGCCATTTGGACCGAGCTTTTTGGGCCAACTGCGGGCTATGTCGATGTTCGATCGCGGAAACCACATCTCGAGAAACACATAAAGTAGGAAATCTATTACTGCACAAAGGCAAAACAGTTTACCGGCCCAGACACCACACCCGTAGTATCGTTTTAGCCGATCGATCAAAGCGAAACTCCGCACCCTGTCAGCGTTGGCTTCCCAGCCTTGACCGGGATAATACCCATAGAATTCCTCCGGGCTGATATCGCCAGTGATGCCTTTGTAGACACGCTCTGTTCGTTGAGCCACATCCGTCCAGGAATACATCATCTTGACCTGATCATGGAATCGATCTGTTCGCACTTTGTTCGAACGCAAAGCGGCAATCGCCTTTTCAGTCGCCAGGACTAGATCATCTTCTTCAGGCTTCGCAAAGGTCGTCATATGCTGAGGTAACACTTCTGGGATGCCACCAACACGAGTACAGACCACATAAAGGCCACAGCTAGCGGCTTCGACGATGACCGTACCAAAGGCCTCCGTCAGACTCGGATGTAGATAGATGTGGCCTCGGACCATGACATCCCGAACTTCTTCATGACGAATCGATCCCAGCAATTCAACTTTGTCCTGTAGCACGTTACGTTCCAACATCTGCTCCAAATCGATGGCTTGCGGTCCCGAGCCCGCGACGATGAACCGTACGTTCGGATGGGAAGCCAGAATCCTTGGTATAACCGCAATCAGGAGATCCGTCCCTTTGTTGTAGAAGAGACGCGAGATGACAACAATCGTGATAGTATCGTTCGGCCCGATCGGTGCAGGCGGTGGTCGCGGCTCGATTTCTCCTGACGTTCGATCGCCTTTGCGAATGTCGTGAGAAAGGGGGCGAAAGTTTTCTGCGACCACGGCATTGGGAATGACCGAGACCATCAAAGGGTCTAACGATGCTCGAAGCACTGTATTCTCCTTGCTGTACCCCCAGGTAAGAATCAGGACATAAACCTAGCCTTCCCATGCACGTACCATGTATGACTGACGCAAACGACATGGTCAACGTCACTTAATGTGAATTTGAGCATCTTGTTCGCCAAAATCGAACCAGCATCCGCAAACCCAAATAGAGAGTGATCGGTAAAGACTGTGCGTAGACCCATCGTTCGGGCATGTAGAATGGCCTCATGACATAAGCTGCTCATACTACCGTGGCCATGAACGATTTGTATTTGTTCACGGATCACGATATTCCGGAATAGGGGGAAGAAGGAGAAAACTGTCGGCATCGTCGACTCGCGGTAAATGACGAAGAAGGGGATGTGGTACACTTTGAGACCATTGGTAAGATATCGAACTCCGGTCCGCCCTTTGTATGCATGGGTGATGATAATGACTTTATGACCGCGGTCGATCAGTTTCTGGAAGAAGAATGAGCAGGTATATCGTGTGAAAGGAGCGAGCGTTCATACAGATGACAGTTGGTATATGTGACTTTCAACTCCCCCTGATAGAATAAGTCAATGCTGCAGAGATACAATGCGCGACGAGGAGACAAACCTGGTTGAGGAAAGAAGAAGTCACAGACCATACTGCGCAAATCATTGTCAGCTCCATCTCTTCGCGATGAGTACGGGATAAACTAACGCAATGTTGTAGGGCATATTGGCTGCTCCGCTTGTCTAGCTGGTATCCAGACAATTCTGAGAGGTAGTGGCTGTCACTCTACCCATGGCGAGCAGATTCGCCCTTCAATAAAACCAGCACACATCCGGGTATACCAGCATACAGCGAACAATACCCGACCAGATGAATGTGATCTCGGAATGAAGCTCCAGACCTGGTTGATCCCTGAGGCCCACTGCTGGCGGCATGTGGGGCGGTGTGTCGATTCTGCCGGGTGAGCAACAAAAATGTCTCCGCGGAAAGAAATCATGTTCGAGAAGAATCTCTCAAACGATTACAGTCTCAGCAACCACGGCAACCGGCAATTCCGCCAGCTCTTGTTGGATCATGGCTGGCGACAAATCTGCGCATCATGCGTCAGTTGAAAAAGATTCAGCCACTCCACTGACCGCGAAGAAGACTCACAAAAGAAAGAGAGAATCGGATGGCTCCCCCATTGCGACATCGACACCAACACCTACCAAGAAAGCGAAAAAGACTCAGAACCTTTCGCCAACCGCTGCTCATTCAAAAGGAAAGCCAGGCAAAGAAAAGCGGAACAAACACTCGGAAGAGGACGGTGTTCGCGAAGAAAAGACCAGGAAAGATAGTGCTGTCTCGCCGATCAGCAGCAAAGCGAATGCTAGGAGCTCAGATGATAAGGTCTCCAAGTCTAAGAAGAAATCAAAGGTTGAAAAAAGACGAACTTCTGAATCTAATGAGGAGTCTGCACATATAAAGGGATCCCAGGACGACTTGGACGACAGCTCGGAAAGGAAAGAGGACAAGACCGGCAAAACATTGAAAAAATCCACCAAAAATTCTAAAGATGAGAGCGTCACAAAATCTGAGAAGAACAAGTTTTCTGGCATCCTGTCCAAGTTCGAAAGATCCGCAAAGTTGAAGGAGGCAGCAAAGGCGAAGAATGACAGTACGGATAACAGGGCACCCACAGGACCGCTTACAGCAGAACCCGTCGTTGCACAGGGCTTAGAGCCTCTTCCACAACCTGAACAAATTACAGAAGAAACTGAGAAACCAAGCTATTCATCCCTCCCTGCTTGGTTGGCCAATCCCGTCAGAGAGTCCGCTAGCAAGCGCGCCAGGTTTTCAGATTTGGGGATCGACTCAAATCTTCTTCGCATGCTCGAAGATCATGGATACAAAGAAGCTTTTGCGGTACAATCTACGGTTATTCCACTGCTTCTTCAAGGCCCCAGGAGACACCCGGGTGATCTTTGCATATCAGCCGCTACAGGTTCGGGAAAGACACTGTCTTATGTACTGCCTTTGGTCACTGCACTGAAACCGACACCGGCGCCCCGGATGAGAGGGCTTATTGTAGTGCCCACAAGAGAATTGGTGAAACAAGCCAGAGAAGCCTGTGAGCTATGCGCTACTGGCTCTGGACTTCGTATCGGTTCTGCTGTGGGAAATGTGGCTATCAAGGACGAACAGCGCACACTGATGCGTGTTGACCAATGCTATGGACCTGAACTTTCCAAGCAAAGGCAGACTGTCAATCTCACTGGAGAAGATTGGACGAATTTTAATCTCATGAACTATATTGCAGAAGCAGGAGACTTGGGCGAGTCCCTGCCAGGCTACGTTCAGAAGGCGGAGCCAAACATTGATATCTTGATCTGTACTCCGGGTCGTCTGGTTGACCATCTCCGTTATACCAAGGGCTTCACTTTGGAACATCTTGAATGGTTGGTTATTGATGAAGCAGATCGACTTCTGAACGAGAGCTTTCAAGAATGGGTTGATGTTGTGATGAACTCCCTGGATGCCCGCAAGGATCCCAAGACCTTCGGCTCCAGCGGTAAGTTTATGGCTGAGCTGGGGCTTCCAATTCAAAGCAGAGACCCCCGGAAGGTCGTTCTCAGCGCCACAATGACGAGAGATATCTCCAAGTTGAATTCTCTCCGACTGGCAAACCCGAAGCTGGTGATTATTGGTTCGGCAGAGCCTACTGCAACCGAAGAAGCAGAGCATGATGGTGTCCCTACAAGATCTGATGAACAATTCACTCTACCCTCCACGTTGAAAGAGTACTCCGTATCTGTTGGCGATGGGTCGCAGAAACCACTTTACCTCCTTCGGCTGCTACAGTCTCATATCAACCTGGACACCCACAATCAACGCTCTGTCGAACGTCTCTCGAGGTCTTCAGACACAGAAGAGTCCAGTTCGGACGATTCGAGCTCTGATGAGTCGGACTCCGACGACTCGGACTCCAGTGATACCAGCTCGGACGACACGAGCTCTGACGAGTCCAGCTCAGATGAATCGGATTCAGACTCAGAAGACGATAGCTCATCGAGCGACGAATCAGATTCGTCGTCTGACGTATCCATGTCATCTGAAAGCGACGAAAAGGAAAAGAATATTTCTCATCGTGGGCCTGCAAGAACGACAGTTCTCATTTTCACCAAGTCATCTGAATCCGCATCACGTCTTTCTCGGCTGATTTCACTTCTCGACCCGTCCCTGGCAAATCGCGTAGGAACGATTATTAAGTCTAATAAGTCATCAGCCTCTCGGAAAACACTCACTGCCTATCGACGAGGCAAGCTCTCCGTTATTGTCGCTACTGATCGCGCTTCTCGTGGTCTCGATCTGCAGTCGTTGACTCACGTCGTCAATTACGACGTTCCTCACAGTGTTACGACATACGTGCATCGTGTTGGACGTACAGCTAGAGCAAGCAAGGAGGGCTCGGCCTGGACGCTTGTTGCACACCGTGAGGGCCGTTGGTTTGTCAACGAGATTTCCAAGGGCTCGGATGGCAAGATTACGCGATCCACCAAGGTTGAGAGGGTGAATGTGAAGCTGGACACCACGGCCGAGATCAAGTCGAGATACGCAGCTGCACTGGATGCCCTGGAGAAGGAGGTAAAAACGGGCGGAAGTAAAACTACAGAGTCTAGAGCTTAGGATTAGAGCATATAGCAAGCCTGGGGCGCATTTGAGGATGGATGCACATGTAAATAGCTAATAAAAAAGAGATGCACCCGAATTTCAATCAGGATCCCTTCAATACTTGCTCTTACCTGGGATTGATGACCGAACTTTTGCAAGACGGCCTGATTACCCCAAAATGATTAGGTACAGCAAGAGGACTATGTCATGACTTGCCAATCAGTTAGGCAGCAAGAAAACCCCCGACTCCGTGCTTGTTCGCCTTGCTTCCCCCGCAAAGGTGGTTAAAAGAAATATATCGTCCAAGGTACTCCGTATCCGCTTCTCTTTGACCGTTTAGTAAATCCTCCAGAAGAGGCCGTACGCGTAGACATTTTAAAGACTTGCTGCAACTACATTTGTCGCAGTATGCCCTCTCTGCGTTGCTCTCCCCAAGCTCATACCAACCTCAACATCCACCATGATCTGCTGATGGCTCAACTTCTCCAGGTCCTCGTCGAATCGAATCCGGTCTCTCTCAAAAGCCACTAGGATACTTGAGCCGCCAAATTGGAAGAGTCCAATTTCATCGCCTTTCTTCACATGATGTCCCGCAGTCATCATTTCATCATTGAAACTACATACCATGTCAGTCAGATGCCTTTTGACTTTGACTTTCCTTGGCAGAAGAATACTCACTCGACGGTCCCGACATCGGTAGCACCGATAGCCACGAAAAGAACCAGCCCAAAATCCTCAGTCTCGATGCACACACAGCAACGCGCATTCTCCGTCAGGATGTTGACCGAACTCTGCAGCGCCACGGGATCAACCTGGAAGTAATCACCGGGAATCTGCTTATACCACTTCACCTTCCCCTCAACAGGGGAATGGTATCGGTGGTAATCCTGGGGACTCAGACGGAAGCTTGCTACCGCACCGTTGTCCCACGCCTTTGCACGGTCCTTGTCTTTGATGAGATTTTGGATGGTGAACTCGGAACCCTTAATCCAAAGCCTGCGAGTAGTTTCGACAGTTGGGTAGACGACGACTCGTGAGTCGGCAACGACGACAGCCTTTGTGGGGTCGTTCGGTGCATGAATTGGTCGTGCGCCGGGGGCGTGCTTCCGCACGAAGAAGTCCTCGAATGTCTCGTATTTCTCCGGATCGGATGGGTCGAACTTCGACATGTCGATTTGGTAAAAGTCGATGAAGGTTTTGATTTGATTGTGGGACTGGGGTTTCCCTTCTTTGCGCCCTTGAATACAGTCAGTGGTCTGCAGAGCGTAATGTTGGAAGGAGGATAACGAACCTGCAGCGAGGTTCTTCTCGTGCGTATACATTCGGATGAGATGAGTCTGATCAATCCATTCTGTCAACGGGTTAAAGAGTAGTAGCAGCTTGAACTTCTTCCACAATGGTTGCTTCTCGCGCTTGTATTCGCCTGTCTTGCGGTCGACGGTCATCCATCCCACTTCGCGATTCTGGATGAGCTTAGTGAAGGCGAACGCCTGGTCCACCAGCTGGTGGATATAGCCGAAGATGCCAGACATTGGAACGCCTTGTTTGTAGAATGAGAGTTTGATATTCTCGTCTGAGCTGTTTTGACGAAGCACATAACTCTTTGATATCTACCTCCACCAAATGTCTTGTTGTGTTTGGTGTGATGTCATTGCGATGTCAGATTGTCTTCAGCCAGTTTGACGATGCGTTATTCCTACGGCGGTACCACGCGATATCTCTGCACCTTGCCAGCTCTAAATTGAGGCATCCATGGGTGCAATGGTGAAATTTCCCCTTGACCTGGATCATGATGGTCTCAGTAATGTCAAACAATCCCACGCGATATACCACTCTACAGCTCCAAGAATCAACCCTTAACCCCCCATGTCATACTAACCCAGAAGCAGTAAAGCGTTGGCGGGTGAGGATTTGGCCGAGATTCCACCAGAAGCTTAGCTGCATCGTCCCCCTACCATGATGATCTATTACCTCTACGGCCATGAATGGGCCTTTCCTGTTGCTCTTTGGAAGCTACATCTTCCACAGCCTTTCATTATCGGCTAAATAGACTACCTGCGGAGGGAGTTTATCAGTTTGTGAATTTCATTGGCTGTCGTAGCTCGATAGCTGTAGTATTGGCAGCTGGCTCGATGAAGTGTGGGTCGACTGCAACGAGACGGTGATGATAATCATGCCATTACGCTTGCATTAATAATGCTCGACCTTCATCTCTGGCTTTTCAGCCTGAAAGCTCGAGCTGGAAGTCGCTGCACCCGGCAATTCCCTGCGCTGGGAGTAAGACGTTGCCTGCAATAACTCCGTATGTAAGGTCTCGACTCTGCTCACCAAATATCACGGGACAGCTTGACGAACTAGACTTGCTCGTCTAATCGAGATATATGCAGACTTGCATAATTGCAATCACATAATTATTCCACCACACTTGATTTTGTCTCAGTGCTCACTAGGCAATAAGTCCACTGGTCTCATGAAGCAGTTCCATATGAACCAACAAAGGGAGAGAATGGCACGGACTGACACAATTGACATCATCATTCAGGTTTAAAGTCCATTCAGCCTAAATTGTGAGTGAATCGGTCAACTTGTTCTTCATTCTCTCATGTCGGAGAATCCCCGCGCTCCGCTCTTTGCTCAGGATCGGCTGTGGGACCTGCTCGATTCGGGCATCCGCATGTGGGGGAAGTCGGGGAAAGAAGTCCAGAAGCTAGGGACGCTTCATCCACGGCATAGATGGAATACAGATGCCGGCCAGGTACGAGGACGCATAGCATTTTTTTCTGCCAGAGTTGCCGAAGCCTACTATAAATTGAGCACTTCATCTACCGACCTCATGATGCAGAAGATGAACTTCCCAGTCTTGTGGATGCTGGCAACATGTCGACTGCCAAATCTCTTGCTGCCGTGCTGGTAGCTCTGTTGCCTTGTGCGCTTGCTCAGGCGAACACAAGCTACGTTGATTACAATGTGGAGGCGAATCCTGATCTCACCCCTCAGACGCTCGCTAAGATTGACCTGTCCTTTCCCGACTGCGAGAATGGACCGCTTAGCAAGACTCTAGTTTGCGACACGTCTGCTAGGCCACATGACCGAGCTGCTGCCCTGGTCTCCATGTTCACCTTCGAGGAACTGGTGAACAACACAGGTAACACCAGCCCTGGTGTTCCGAGGCTTGGTCTACCACCGTACCAAGTATGGAGCGAGGCTCTCCATGGACTTGACCGCGCCAACTTCACAAACCAGGGCGAGTACAGCTGGGCCACCTCGTTTCCCATGCCTATCCTGACAATGTCGGCCTTGAACCGAACCTTGATCAACCAGATCGCGAGCATCATCGCCACTCAAGGTCGAGCTTTCAACAACGCCGGACGGTATGGGTTGGACGTATATGCCCCGAACATAAATAGCTTTCGCAGTCCTCTTTGGGGGAGGGGACAAGAGACCCCTGGAGAAGACGCTTACTGCCTGACCTCAGCCTATGCGTATGAGTATATTACTGGTATCCAGGGCGGTGTTGATCCGGAACATCTCAAGTTGGTAGCCACTGCGAAACATTATGCGGGCTACGACATTGAGAGCTGGGACGGTCACTCCCGTTTGGGCAATGATATGAACATTACACAGCAGGATCTTTCCGAATACTACACCCCTCAGTTCCTTGTTGCAGCCAGGGACGCCAAAGTGCACAGCGTCATGTGTTCCTACAACGCGGTGAATGGGGTGCCCAGCTGCGCAAATTCGTTCTTCCTCCAGACCCTCCTCCGTGACACATTCGGCTTCGTCGAGGATGGTTATGTGTCTAGCGACTGCGACGCGGCATACAATGTCTGGAATCCCCACGAGTTTGCGGCCAACATCACGGGGGCGGCAGCTGACTCTATCCGGGCAGGTACGGACATTGATTGCGGCACCACTTATCAGTACTATTTCAGCGAAGCCTTTGACGAGCAGGAGGTCGCCCGTGGAGAAATCGAGAGAGGTGTGATCCGCCTGTACAGCAACTTGGTGCGTCTCGGCTATTTCGATGGCAATGGAAGTGTGTATCGGAACCTGACTTGGAACGATGTCGTGACCACGGATGCCTGGAATATCTCATACGAAGCCGCTGTTGAAGGTGTTGTCCTGCTGAAGAACGACGGAACCTTGCCCCTCTCCAAGTCCGTCCGCAGTGTTGCATTGATTGGCCCCTGGATGAATGTGACAACTCAGCTTCAAGGCAACTATTTTGGACGGGCACCTTATCTGATTAGTCCATTGGATGCCTTCAAGCATTCTGACTTGGACGTGAACTACGCTTTCGGCACGAACATTTCGTCCAACTCCACAGACGGTTTCTCCGAGGCTTTGTCTGCTGCTAAGAAATCCGATGTCATTATCTTCGCGGGTGGAATCGACAACACTGTGGAAGCAGAAGCCATGGATCGAATGAACATCACATGGCCCGGCAATCAACTACAGCTCATCGACCAGTTGAGCCAACTCGGCAAACCGCTGATCGTCCTCCAGATGGGCGGCGGCCAAGTCGACTCCTCCTCGCTCAAGTCCAACAAAAACGTCAACTCCTTGGTCTGGGGTGGATACCCCGGACAATCCGGCGGACAGGCTCTCTTGGACATCATCACGGGCAAGCGCGCCCCCGCCGGACGACTCGTGGTCACCCAGTACCCAGCCGAATACGCAATCCAATTCCCAGCTACCGACATGAACCTGCGGCCGCACGGCAATAATCCCGGCCAGACCTACATGTGGTACACCGGCACGCCCGTCTACGAGTTCGGCCACGGGCTCTTCTACACCACCTTCAGGACCTCCCTGACTGCCGCAGACAAGAACAAGACCTCCTACAACATCCAAGACCTCATCACGCAGCCCCACCCAGGCTTTGCAAACGTCGAGCAAATGCCTTTCCTCAACTTCACGGTGGAGATCACCAACACCGGCAAGGCCACTTCCGACTACACTGCTATGCTCTTCGCCAACACCACTGCCGGCCCTGCTCCATACCCGAACAAGTGGCTCGTCGGTTTCGACCGGTTGGCGAACCTGAAACCGCACAGTTCACAGACCATGACTATCCCAGTGACCATCGACAGCGTGGCTCGTACGGATGAAGCGGGCAATCGGGTCCTCTACCCGGGGAAGTACGAGTTGGCGCTGAACAACGAGCGGTCGGTTGTCCTTCGGTTCGCACTGACGGGCGGAGAGGCTGTGATTTCCAAGTGGCCTGTAGAACAGCAGCAGATTTCCTCTGCATGATGATTTGAATTATGTTGATAGTACCTTGAAACGAGGATCTAGAACGAACTAGCTGTTTAGTTTAGAGTTTCGCTCTATGTTGAGGCGTTGTGTCAAGCTTCGTGGCTTTTGTGGCTTTGCTTGGCTGATACTCCATGACGGCAGTTTTAGCCTAATTACACTTTATATGCTCAGCTTGATACCAAACTCTTCTCTCGGCATATCATCTGCGCATTTCATGCATATATCTACTCTCGATAACAATAGACATGATGTAAATATGCGCTGCACCGGCAATAGAACATTTACTCCCTTACCATCTGAACCAATTCATCGTACTCTCCTGTATTCTTCAACATACTCCAGAAAACGCCTTGCTTCTTAATCAGATTCGCGGGGGAATCATTTCTTTCCAAGTTAGCCTCCGTGAACGCATGGATAAACAAGAAAGAAAGAGGGAACGACATACTCAATGATCTCCCCCTCTGCCATAACCAGCACCCTGTCATAATCCATGATCGTCCGCAGCCGATGCGCAATCGCGATAATCGTCGAGTCAGGGAACATACTTCGTAGCAGCTTCTGCATGTGCATGTCCGTCTCGTGGTCCACGGACGCGGTGGCCTCATCCAGCAGCACGACCTTGGACCGGCGGCAGACCGCGCGCGCGATACTGAGGACCTGTCGCTGGCCCTGGCTGAAGTTTTCTCCGTTGGCGGCGACGGGGGTGTCGAGGGTGAGGGCGCGGGTCGGTTTGTTGGTGCCTGTTTCTCCGGCGGTGCTGCCTCCGTGCACTTGTATGGAGGTGCAGGCGGATAGAGCGGAGTGCAGCTCTGTCTCGCTTGCTTCGCCGAATGGGTCGAGGTTCGATTGCACGTCGCCGGAGAAGAGGACGGGTTCTTGGGGGATGAGTGTGACGCTTGTGCGGAGGCGATGCAGGCGGATGTGGCTGATATCGAGGCCGTCGATTGTGATCCGACCTGAGGTAAGATTGACGAAGTGGAGGAGGGAGAGACCGAGGGTGCTCTTGCCGCTGCCTGTCCGGCCTACGATGCCAACGCGTTCACCGGGGTTAGCCACGAAGGAAACGTTTCGTAGGACATCTGGCCCGTCGGGCTGGTAGCGGGCCGAGACGCTGTGAAATTCCACCTTCCCGCGTGTTGGCCAGCTGGCAGGTATAGTGTCGGCTTTGGCGCGCTCCTTGTCACTCAGTTTCTCTTCAGGCTCAATCTCCGCATATTCGCTTATTCGCTGGAACGAGTTGAGTTCAACCTCGAGTTCGTTCATCGTGCGGACCAACGTCAGGATTGTCTGACTGAGGCCAATGGCGTTGGTCAATGAGAATCCAACGAGGCCCGCGGACCCGGACCAGAAATATGCCACGCATCCCGCCGATGCTGCGACGGATGCTGCGCATAAGTCTGATCGGACTGAAACCCAACGGTTGCAGTTGTACTGGGCTTCTGCGGAACGAGCATGAACTGCAAGCTTTTCCGCTAACAGCTTCTGAAAAACCCCCGTCATGCCTTCTCGGGCTCGGATGACAGTCATTCCAGCCAGGGAATCGGTGAAATGGGAGAATATGGGAGAGTAGTTGATCGAAGTTAATCTCTTGATAGAAATCTGGGCCCGAGTGTACATCTCCCCGATGAAAAAGCCTATCGTGCAAATCACGGCGGCCGGGAGCGCAAAAATCGGCATGATCGAAGCGATACTCGCTATTCTCAGCAAGAACCGTAGCCCATTTTCAATGGACATGCGCAGCCAGTCAATCAAAACAGTATCAATTGACCTGGTGTCATTTCCAAAGCGGTTTATAGCACGCCCGATGGGGTTTTGGTCGAACCAAGAGATCGGGGCAGAGAGTACTGCTTCCACCAGTTTCGTGTGCATCTTCTTGGCGGCCGTCCAGCTCCCATATTGATATAGAAGATTATTCGTGATTTGAAGGAGGAGAAACGAAATTATTGCTGCAGCATACACGGCTAAGTAGAACAGAGAGTTAGGGTGTTCGTATTTTTCGTACGCGCTTGTCCAAATAGACAGCCAGTATGTGATTGAGAAGTATGCAAATTGCACCGTGACAGTTGCTAGCAGCATGACTATCGCATAGGAGATTCCGCCAAACAACAGCATGTAACGCAAGACTGCAGAAACATTAGCGTCGAGGACTGCATTACTCAACTGGTGTAATACTCACATAATGTACGTGGTACGCGACCTGTAGCAGACATTTCTTTGACAATGCGATCTGTCTGTTTGGATCGGTGTACGCGAACATTGGGCAAGACATTGACGGTGACTTCTGATTCAGTAGAAGACCCTTCTGCCATTGTTGAAGAACCGCTGATTGCTGCGTCTTGCTCTGCCCCTTCGGCGAGGTCTGGTACACTCTGTGTGTGCGCCTTCGAGGACTCAGCAGCCGTGTTAATTATGGAAGCCTTGCCATGGTTGAGCTGAACGATCTGATCAGCATCCTTCAGGGCAGCTGGCAAATGCGTGACAAGTACAATGGTCCTATCTGCTAACAGACCACTGCAGAAACACTTGTCATAAACCAAGCTGGTCGTATGTGTATCTAGTGCGGAAAATATGTCATCCAAGAGCAATGTAGATGATCTCGAATACAGTGCCCTGGCAAGAGACACACGTTGCTTCTGGCCACCTGACAGCGACGTGCCTCTCTCACCCACTAGAGTGAGATCACCAGCGGGAAGCTGTTGAAGATCCTGGATAAGCCCGCTGGCTTCAATGACGGTATTGTAACGGGCTTCATCGAACGAGCTGTAAAAAATAATGTTCTGTCGAATTGTGTCATTCTGCAGCCATGGCGACTGCGGTACATAGGCCACATCCTGAGGGCAGGTGGCTGTTCCAGACTCCAGCACAGTCTCACCTAACAACGATAGCAGTAGAGAACTTTTCCCACTCCCAGTTGGGCCTGCCACGACATTGAGGGCATTGTGCTTGAAAGAAATTGAGATGTCCCGTAACCGGAAATCTGCGATCGGTGTTCGCCGAAACGTGGCCTGCTTGAGCTCCAATGGTCCGTCTGGATGACGTCTGATCTCGGCTGCTGTGTCAAAAAAGTGATCCACTCGACGAAGCGACTCCGCACCCTGGGCCGAATATCTGCTGATATTTGAGAGCCAGACGAACTGAGAACGCAGTGTCTCCATGACTGACAGAGATGTGAAGGCAACAGGAGCCCGCAAAGAACCGTTCGTAAATAAAACTACGACAGAGAACATGACAAGCAAGCTCATCATAGGTAATAGGTCACCTGCCATAGAAATAGCAGCAGCAAAGACACTTCGCCTCCAGAGACGTCGTTGCTCCACGCTTCTGATCTCATTGATCGAAGCCACAGCAGCTGGCTCCCATCCGAAGAATTTGAGGGTTCGGATAGAATTCAAGTACTCTGAAATCCTGGCAAGACGGACATCAGTTGCCCTCATCACGGATTGCTGGATGCGTGAGACCCGGCGTGATGCCAGAGCCGGAAGCGGAGTCAAACAACACAGCGTCAAGACACCGAATAAGGATGGCCACCCGAGCATTCGGTAAAGGAAGACCATGGCAATGGTAGTGGATATCGGCACTGCAGTAGCTACAAAAAAAATGTCCCGGGAGTTGTATATAGCATCAACATCGTATGACATAAGACTTGTCAGGTTAGCTTGGCTAGATTTCCCTGTGTGCTTTTGAGCATGTGCCTTGTGTGTCGCTGACTCCTGAGAGCGTGGTCTGCCATGTGGATGTACAGAATCATCGTAGATATGCGATCGCATAGCGGTTTGATAAATCTCCTGGACAAGCGAGATATTGACGCGGACAAGGAGCCTTGTGGCTGTAAAGATGTACTGTTGATAGCAAAATGACCGCATCATAGGACCAACGAATAGCAAACAAATCCAGAGGGCAGGATGCACGACTGCACCAGTCGGGTCTTCCAAGTATGCCAGCAATTGCAGCATGGAGAATGGGGCGAAGAAATCTGCCACGGAAGTAGTCGCGGCCCAGCAAACCATACTTTTTATCTCTGTCTTCAACAGTCTGCACAAAGTTCGAAACGTTTTCCCGCCTTTTTGGCGCTGCTTCTTGATCTTCTCCAGCCACTTCAGTGGTTCGTCATATGAGGGAAGCGGCGGCAAGTCATCCATGGTCAGATCTCTCTGGCAACCACGAAAGATCACATAAGTGATCCACTCATAGGAGCAATAGTACGAGAACAGAGAACATGTTTCCTCCGGCGAGACATCCGTCTTCATCTCTGCATCATGAATTTCGGCATTCGAGATTAAGGGACGGGGCCGAGGACTTGCAAGCACAATTGCCAGCATAGCAGCCACGCAGGCTAGTGAGGCACTTGCAAGAGGAGTTGGACGGTAGGTCGAGCCAACAATCGCCATTGGAACAAGATCCTTCACAATTGCTAGAGACAAAGCCGCTAAGGTCATCATGTTCAAGTGGCCATAGAAATGAATCCAGTGCATAACACCCTGGAAACAGAGCCTCGCGATAGCCAATAATACAATGTAGCTGAAGAGTATTGACTGTTTCCAGTCTCCTCTGCTATATGCTTCACCCCAACTGAGACCACAAGCCGCCATAGCAGCCGCCAGGTGCGCAAGAGCAAAGGGTACGGGAACAGTTGTCTCTGAAACAGCAGAGGTAGCATCCATGCGGCCACGAGGTCTCTTCTTGAAAACCCAAACAGCATGATGGAGACATGTTGATAGGATGAGTACGAGGCATGAAGCAGAGACCGCCCCGAGGTGCAGATGTCCAGTGGACACGAAGGCGGACAGTTTCTGTGTCCGATATTGCCAGAGAGCTCTGGCTTCTTGCATCAGTTTCAGGCAGTTACTAGGAGGACACAAAAATTGGACAAACCTTTGCACTTGACCGCTGTCCTCAAAAGCAGAGATATCTCCGTCCACAAACTGCGATGTCATAGGAGCTATGACATATTGCGAAACCCCAGGCAAAAGCTCCATTGCGGGCGAATTCGACACGGGGAAAGCAAAGCTTGCCTTGTTTATTGAGGTTCCTACTTGACAAACATCAAGCTTGGCTTTCTGGGGATAAAACAGAAATCCGGTGTGTAGTGACTGATCGCTAAGCGACTGCCATTTGAGGTTGAGTTTATTGCTATTGCACCCCGTATCGACAAACTGATGATTTATCCATCGTACAAATAGCCGCAGCACGGCACAGCTTCCGATACTAGCCAATGGTTTAAACCGGATCGAAAAGCAAAGGAGATAAGCAATCGAATAGTGCAATGGCTAACCTGCAGCTTGACTGAAGAAGTTTTGGCGGATGTTGCCGACCACGGTGAATGGACGGGGAAGAGTCATTGGGACGGAAAAACTACAAATGGGCATCCACAGTTGCAGCCCTCAAGCTCTAGAACGGGTCGAATGCTGAGTCCTGGGCTGCCTTACTGCCTGAGCGTACTTTCCGATACGGATATTTATCCCTTCTTGCTAGACAACAATAATAACTCGGTCATGACCTTGTCACTAAATCACTGACTGCCCATCTACCCAAGAACCCCGGCGAAACAAGCTCTAGAAGAACAAAAGAGGGCCATGACCGAGAAAATACAGGACAAGCACCGCTCGATGACACCATCAGGACCCGTCTATTGGTGATGCCCCATTTCGATAAAGCCACAGCCGGCTAAGATCCTTGACCTTCATCTTTCTCCTGAAAGAGCCATCTGACTGGAGTAATGAGGCAGTTCCGTTCATCTCATCATCTGGAAAGTTAATCTCGTCATGGTTACCTCTGTCTCCAGTATCTGTCTCGTCTGCTGTTGGCCTATCTAATTCATCTGGTTGGACTTCCACTTCCATCTCCATGAAATCGTTTGTGTCCAGCGTCTTCATGTCTTTCCCTAACGTGAACATGGTATCCAGATGGTGCTGGATAAATTGATGACCGGAACCAGGCCGCACGAAGACTCGGCCCATGTATCGATTAGGAATATTGGCAAAGTTCAATATCCCCCACACGCTCACAAAGTCCTTGGAATTTGCATAGTGCTCAATTCGACGAATGGTTTTTGTACCTATTGCTGCCGGGCTGACCTGCGGACTTTCGCCTTCGGATTCAATCCGACGAGCATGAGACAATGTTTTAACCGGATTGTTAAAATGGTTCGCCGCATTACCGAAGGTATAGACCTCGAGATCCTGCAGCAACTCTCGAGGCATCTCGTCCAATAACCAGTCAATGACCAAGCCGCCCTCGATTCCACCTTGGCTATGAAGAATGAGGATCACCTTCTTGTATTTTGGATTCAACAAGTTCTCCTTGATGATCGCGTACGCATCCCTCACATCCGAAGTGGCGTAGGAGAAATTCCTTTGAATCAAGCACTCGATAATATCGAAAACGATCCCCATTCTGCAGGTTTTTTTGTCCTGGGTCACCAAAGCCAATCTAATGTTTGAAGACGGCAAAGAGAACCTACGTTGAATTGTGAACGCCGGTAATATTTCTGCCAAATGTATAGGCCAGCCGGTCAAGGTTACTCTGCAGCCAGTGACACCTTAAAACAATCGCATGAGTTGCATGATCCCTGCCGGGATATTTGGGGACTCACCCGGCTCCGACTCCATTAATGAAGACCCAGTGCTCACTGTCGTGTTCCGGACGATGTTCGACGGGAACTTGCGACTGCAAAATCCTGGCACTCCCATTCAAGGCAAACCTGCAAATTACCCAATTCAAAGTCAAAGTGACTGTTATATAAATTCCAATCCCCAGCGCCGGGAAGGCGAGAATAAACAAAATAGGCAGTGACAAAAGGAAGATGAGCTGATAGACAGCCAGAAATATATGTACGACGATGTCCCATACATTGTCCTTGGACGGATAAAGTTCGTCCAAGGCTCCCGAGTTCCACGGCGTCAAGGGCAGTATTATACCAGGCAGGCTCCAGAGACTCCGTAGGAAAAGAAGGATGTCAGCCCACAACAATTTCCATGGCGATGCTGTGTATGGTAATGGCACATCTTGTTTCTTTCTGGACTGGGAGGGAAGATACGTGACGACCATACTCGGCATAAGTGTCTCCTTGATGGTCTATTTCAGTTCATAAAGCGAATATGAAGGATCAGATCGCATCTGTCGTTTGATGCGCTCGTGGACTCGGGAGTAACGAGAGTATCGAGGGTGTTCATATATCTTTGTGTTGTCCAACGGAGGGTTGAGCGCGTACACGGCCTCGTGATGCGATCATCTACACACTTGCTGGTCGCGTTCATGACTAAAGACTTGGCTGCCCTACCACGCTCGAGTCTGGGTAACCACCCTGGTCATGGTTGCCTGTGCTTCCAAAAGCGATCGAGCTTTGAATCTGCAAGACATTTTTCGCATGTCTCTCACAGTGGTGTGCTGACCCGGAATGTCTCACGAGATATAATTCTTCCTCTTTTGGAGGTATCCATTCGGCAACTACTAACAGCGGCTAAGCGGAAGATCTACAACAAAGAAATGATGGATACAGGATATGTCTCTGGATCTCTATTCCTCACGGCGTGTTCTTTGTTGACGTTGTCTTAGACACTTCTTCGACTACCACAAGCCCAAACGGAGACAATAGCATTGACAGCAGAAAGCCTTTGTCTTGAGGCTTTTCTGACAAGTATAAAATGGCTTCTCTATATCATGCTCCTCTTTGCAGAGCATCTTCACGTTATCCATCAACTCCAACATCATCAACTGCTTCTTCACCATTATCATCAGAACTTCGACCTTACCCCTTACGAAACGACACAGCACATTGTGCATACGACATCACAGCGGAGAGCCAACCCTGCGTGTTCTGAATTATTGTCAACAACTTAAAAGAGCAGACACCTAGTATATTGCGCCTTCGCCAATATCACTCGAAGCATTATCTAAGGCTGCTAAGAGATTGAACAAGATCCGGGCCAAGATGCAGCGCGCAATTCAGATGAGGTACCCTCTGATGGCCACTGACCTCAAGAAATCCCAATTGGCAATGCTAATTCAAGTTTTGAACTTACAGCATTCGGCACACTATACCCACGACAATATGGGACGACTTCTCGAAGTGCGCAGCGAATTGATCCACCACGCCATCAAAAACCTCCCGTCTGAGCTTCGGAAGTCCACATTGCTCCAAATTCTGCCAAGTTCCTTCATTCGCGCCGCGGAGCTGTGTCCCTCGCACCAGGGATTCAATCCCTATGTCATTGCGAACATCTGCAGCCTGATAAGAAAGGAAGTCACCGAGCATCTGGACGTCATTGACTGGTACTCAGATAACCTCGACCAAAGCCATGTCCGGCTCGTCCGCGCGCTGCAATCCATGCAAGGCATGTGGTCTCTGGTCCCGCTGGGTACTCGTCCTCCGCCGATAGCCCCAGCACCTTACCAGGAGAACAGATGCGAAGCATGCATCTTGGCAAGGGTGGTCCAGGAGCCGATGTTCCTGCAGAACCTTCGGGTCGCACTCATCAGTCGGACTAGAACTAGATCCAAACATCGCGCGCCTAGGCTGCTGGCGTTTATCGACCAGGGTATCAACTATTACGGGGACCGCGCCCTGCAGTACTGGCACGCAAGCGGTCAAGCGGCTTTCGATTTCAAGGCTGCCAGAAAAGCGGCCGTGAGAGCGTATAAGAAGCGCCCGGAGCGCATTCATCGCCGCGAGGACTACACTGATCACCTGCGCAAGCACCCGAAGAACAAAGGCAAGTCCATCAGAACGGATCCCGGACAGCCAGAGCCAGCTGGATACACCGAGGCATCCGGCTATGCAACGAGTCGACGTAGTGATGATGTTGATATGCAATCCATCATCGTCTACATGGACCACAGCTCCGCCGAGCAGCAAGGCTTACACCGGAACCCCAGCCAAAGAGCTAAGGTGCACTCTCACCGTGCTGAGATCGTGAATGAGCGGGATACGATCGCCGACGAGATCATCGCGACCTACGAAGCCTTCGGAGGCAGAGATTGGGAACCTCGTTCCACCACGAACCTGCCCGCCGGAGTGCCGCCTGTCCATCCCCTATCCGTCCCCAGGGCAGACCACTCGGCGACCTCAGCGTCTCACTACGATGAGGACCACCCCATGGGCGAAGCGAGCTACATCCCTCCGCGCAGCAATTCGAACTGGCAGAGTGCCGCCAACGGACCCACCCTCGGTACCTTGGAAGCCCTGTCGAAGGAGGTCGAGGGTCTGACGCTTGGAGGACGCCTGGGCGAAAATAGCGAAGAGCTTGCGGGTCGATACTGCGATCTGCTGAGCCCAGTGGCGTATCACTCTGACTCGGAATATAGCGAGGCATCTTGGGAGGACGCCCCCGTGCGAGAGGCTGGGCCTGGAGACACCACCTGGGACCTTGTTTGCAAAGAGGGTTATTGACAACTTCTTTTCCGAGTCAGTGGCGGGAAGTGGCCGAGACACGTCATGCGGCGAGCGCTCGAATACTTCAGAAAAGCGGGAAGCATTGGAGGAATTGAGAACTTTTTGACCTGAATGAGTATGAGGACGATTGGGAGATTGATTTTTCGGGGTTGTTCCAAGGCAACTTGAAGGGTGCACATCGACTGCGATAGAGATGAGAGGGACTTGGGTTAATGTTTGAAGGTTGTTTTGTTTCGACTGCAGTTTCGAAGTTTGGAATCGTCAATTTGAGAAATATACACATTGCATTGAGTAAAGATATTCATAAAAGAAAGCTCATGATACAGGCCAAAGGACCAAGGATGCATAATCCACATATTAGTACAGCATGATTCAGTACAACCTAAAGAAAGGCTAAGAATAACCTCTTTCGCATCGATCGAAGACGTCCAGCAGCTTCAGTTCTTCCATGCGTGAGTTAAAAGACGTAAAAGTATTATAAACTTAATAATGCAAATTCCGAAACGGTGATAAATAATCAGGCCTGAAGGACACTGCTTGTCACTCCATGATTGACACCCTTTAGACCGTCGACATGGGGAGACAGAGTCACAGTTTTTCTGCGCAAACGTGCCCGTGCGTTGGAGTCGGCTGGCGCGTCTGTCGACACGACTGGCCCCTCGTATGAATTCTCTTCACTGGAAGATGCCGTAGCTAAAGAGGCATCCTGATCCAGTTGTTTCTGTGCGGCCTCTCGAGATCTTTCGTAGCGGAGTTTGACGTCACCTTCCCACTGAGTTTTAAAAAGACGATCCCAAAAAGTGAAGAATGGCTGAGAGAAGTTCGCCTTGATACCCCAGCTTTGGTGGTGAATGTCGTGGTAGGCAGCATTGTTGTGAGTAAAGTGTTGCAAAGGATCCCAGGGGAAAGCATAGCCGCAATGATCGTCTACAGTCTTGATAGTGGAGCAAGTGAAGAACCACATGGTCTGACGGTACGTCATGTGGGTTGCCAGAAACGCAATGCCGGCACCAGCTGTATCAAGGAGGAAGCCTTCCACTGGGTGATTATAGAGTGCGCCGAAAGCGTATGGGACATAAAGGCGATGGTGGCGAGAGTGGAAGGTGACTGCAAAGTGTCAGTCGCGTCTCCCGAGTGCTTCAAAAGTTTCAAGGATGGAACAAAGCATCAAAGTACATACCGTAAAGCCAGCGGTTCAGATGCATCGCACGGTGCAGGAAATATTGCCAAGTATCGACGATAAACACTCCCACTGTGAACTGTACCGCAGGGATAAAGTACCAGTAGATGAAACTGGCCATTGACAGCTCCCAATTGGTGAAAGCAGGCACGACCGCTTCAATACCGCTGTCCAGAACAAAAGACCGAGTAACTCCGGGATATTGTCCGCCAGCTAGTATACCAGCTAGAACCGTATGACCGTTTTGAGACAGGCTACGTGATAGGCCCAAAGCATCGACTCCGAACACAACCAACAGACGTGGGATTGCCTTCTGAGCAAACCGAAGGCGGCGCGCCCATACAGCAATATCGTACTCCTCTTTTCCAATGTATTCCACGTCGTCATAATAGCTTACCGCCATACCAGCCAGTGTTTGAACAACCTGTTGTAGAATGACATCTCTGACCACATCCCATCGCGAGACCTTATTCCGCTTCAAAACCTCGGCCGGAGTGTGCAGACGATACTGTGGAAAAAGATCGTAGACATCGATGAAATGGTACACCATAGACAAACCCCAATATGCGACAATTGGCAGGATCAGAGCAAGAATGTTGTCTGGGATCGGCGCAAGAAGAGGAGGACGGGGTGTCAAAGTGTAGCTCGGTAGAGGAGGGTAGTCATACTCGACGGATGCGTTGACTGCCATGGCTTGACTGGTAGGGCGTCAATGCCAGAATGCGTAGATGAGGAAGGATGGGCGCAATGTGTTGAATCCAAGAGATCAACGCATGGGTCTGTGAAGTCAGGCAACGACGGCGGAGGTTGCAGCGATGGCCGTCAGGAGTCAATTGCGGATGCTTTTAGGTCAAGGCCGAGATACGGGAAAAAACCGTGGAAACAAGCGTACGGAACCTCGAATTGTAGAGGATGCGAATACCCTGAGTAGGGGGATAGGAAGCAACAGTTGATGGGGAGTCCTTTTTCACTCAAAAGCGGTCCGCCACAGTCAGGGGACGCGCTGCAGTAGGCACCACTACCAACGAACCGTGGATGCCGAGTTAATCGACCAATTTGGGCGAGGAAGGCACTTAGAAACCGATGTTCACCTCAGTCAAGAAATCAAGAACAAAAACTCTATAGGAATATGGAATAATAAGAACTGGAGTAGGTGCAGAGATTTGGAGGACAGAAAAAAGGCCCTAGCAGTCCATCGCGATAAGTAGTAGATCGTCAAGTGGCACCACAAGAACTCAGATCCGGGCCGCCCGTCTACTTATCTAATCAACTGGAGATCATATGCTACAGTAGGTTGGTAAAAATGTATTGTACCATACCCTGATTTCTAAAGCGCTTAGGCAGAAACCCCCGTGTAAATAATGTACTGTAATTACCATAACATGCCGTTCTTGTCAGAAGACGCCCCTGATTGTCTTGATCCCTGGAGCAGTCAAACCACCCTCCATAGTGCTACACTCTGGCTTGAGTTTTACTGATCTAGTGATTGCCACAGACAGCACCCTAGACTCTATCCCATAGACTATCTCGGTCTTGTTCAAATTCAGGGCAGAGTTGTTCTGGTGTGGCAATTCTGCTTGGCATCCCCAGCTGTCAACTGCTGGGCCAGACACAGTCCACCAGTCCCAAAGAGGCTTAGCTCTGTTCTGCCCCTCGAGAATCGCAGGTGAAAAAAAAAAGGACCCCACCAAAAGTTGGAACGGGCGCCACTAAAAACTTCTATTTTACCCCCTCTTTGGGTTCTTTCCAGCTACTGTTTTCTTCTCTTCCTTCTCCTTCTCTTGATCTGTCCAGCCGTGTGCCATTCTCTTCTACCTTCATCCTATCCTTCTTTCGTTGTGAAGTTTTTCTCTCATCACATAATTCAAAATGATCATTTACAAGGTATGTACCTTTGCTTTGGACGTTACCCCACTATTTATGGCGGATGTGGCATGGATAGAAACAGTTGGATTTGTCAACATGGCATGCATATAGGCGCAAGTTGCTGACGTTCTTTTGCTTGTATAGGATATCATCTCGGACGACGAGGTCCTCGCTGACACCTACAACATCAAGGAGGTCGACGGTGTCCTCTACGAGTGCGACTGCCGCAAGTACCTCAAGAAGGCCAATGAGGACTTCCAGCTCGAGGGCGCTAACCCCTCCGCTGAGGGTGAGGATGATGACGCCGGTGGTGAGGGTGAGGCGGTCATGGTTCACGACATCGAGGATCAGTTCCGTCTCGTCTGGCTCAAGACCGAGGAGGGCTTGAAGCCTTCCAAGGACCAGTTCAAGGCCCACCTGAAGTGTATGTCGCTCATTTCAAGTCTACCAATTGTGGCATCTCAAGCAGGTCGCTGACACTCGTTTCTAGCCTACATGAAGAAGGTTCTCCAAAAGCTTCAGGAGAAGGGTGCTCCCGAGTCGGAGATCGATGCTTTCAAGAAGGGTGCCCCCGGCGCTGTCAAGAAGATCCTTTCCAACTATGACAACTACGATGTCCTTATGGGCCAGTCCATGAACGGTGATGCTATGTATGTTATGTCCTCAGCTGTGATGAACCAGTCAATCCTTTACTGACTTACTGCTAGGCACGTCCTGATTGACTTCCGTGAGGACGGTGTCACTCCCTACGCCACTCTCTGGAAGCACGGCCTCGTTGAGATGAAGGTTTAAATTTTCTGCAGTTATGAAGAATATCATGATCCAAAATTAGGGAATTGGAGTCCGCGGTTGTATTTAACTCAAGCATACTGATGAGGTTGAGTATTGTCTGCCCGATCTCTGAAGTTTATACCACGCATCCAGCTATACACTACACCGCATCTACCATATCCTTCCAATATAGTTACGCCTCATGAATCCATTTCTGTTATGCCCTATCCGCCTATCGGCTACTTGAAAATAGAATTATATCTCTACGCTTTGAGCGTCAATCATTATCATAAATTTTATTTATATACACAACTGAGCTATGTACAGTGTAACGTGAATAGCGGCAGTAGAGACGCCGATCTATCACCATAATCAGCAGTATGAAAACCACTCCGGATCTCGCATATCACTCATCCCCGTATCAGTGTCCCCAGCACTCCTATTACTACCAGCATCCCTGGTATTCGCGAGATCGGCAAACTCGAACCCGGAGACAGGATCGAGCTCCATCAACTCGTCTGCAACAGGAAGATGCTGTCCAAAGACTGCATCCCACTCAGCCCAGTCGAAGTTCAGATTCGGATCGACCATGCTTGGCGGCGTAGGTGCTGCTTGTGGTTGCGAGGCAGGCAAGGATGTATCAATATATGGCAAGGCGGCAGACGACGATGTGAAGGCGGGTTGAGTGAACGGGATACTCGAGGCGAGCGGTGGTATACTTGAAATAGCCGAGCCACTGTGTGGGGATTCGACCGTGGGGATGGTCGTTGCAGGGGATGTAGAGAATCGGGGACTAGAAACCATCTGGGGAGTTGCAGGCACTGCACTTGGGACTGGAGGAGGTAGTTGGTATCGCAGGGGACTGGGTCGTACGGCTGGGTTGGGAAGGAGATGTGAACGTGTCATGTTGTAGAAAATTTTCGAGAAATCCATCAGCTGCTTTCGTGAGGTCAGTGGTGTAATGCTGGACGAGTTGCCGGAGGCTTGGGTTGGGTATGAGCTGGAGACTGGAGAGTATTCGGCGGGTGTGGAGGGCACGCCAGCTCGGATCTGAGCCTGTTCGGTCCATAGCCTCTGTGGATCTAGGCCTGCTTTTTGCCACGCCTTCTGGCGCAGTCTTCGGATCATATCCCATGCTTCGCGGCCTCCGTCTTTCAAGGGTCGCTGGGTCGTGATGCCGTCCTCTCCGCCGACGACACCACCATCGGGACCTGAAAGTGAGAATATCTTGTCGATGAATGCCCGTGACTTGGAAGCCTCGGAGCTATAGGGTCGTTCGTAGAGATCGATCAGCATGATCATGGTTGCGTGCATCGGCTGATGATTGCCGGGCCAGCTCCATTGGAAGGGCTGGAAGTCTGGATCGGTGGCCAGTGATATAAACTTCTCCATAAAGCCGTGACAGTGGCGCAGCGCGCTATCTTCATCAGAATCTTCCAATGCAGCCTTGAAGGGCATCATCAGACTTACCTTTGCCTAGCCGTCGGCCAGATACGGCTTTTGGCGTTCTTGAGAAACGGCTGATAAGCAACGCAAAAAGCCTGTTCAAGGACTTGATTAACATTAGTTTCAATGATGACGATCTTCGCATCGTACCTTATCAATGAAAAGCGAGAGAAGTATTCTCGCCCACTTGTGAAAGGCTACGAGAACATGAGAATGATACTGTTCTGGACACCCATTTGGGCCATCGCCAGGTAGTTCGGTTTCGCCGGATCGAGCCTCAACAGGCGAGCGGGATGCGAAGGATCGGGATCTGTCCGAGTTAAGGGAGTGAATCTCTTGGTTCTTTGCTTCAGGAATTCTGTTGATAATCGAGTTCAGTTTGAGCTGGAGATCGACCAATATGGAACGAAGCTCCTCCATATCTCGTCGTGTGACAGGCTCGGTGCCTAGTTGGATCTTCATTATACGACGAACGGCACCTTAAAATGTCAAGTCAGTCACTCGACCATAAGCAACGCGTTAGAAGTCACTTACGAGCCATGACATATTTGCCCCGTGCTGACAGATAGTACACGTTTACCATCGATGGACCGCCACAGATCGTGGGGTCGTCCGGGTTATCTCGTGGCCGCAGACCAGCAGCGACCAATCTCTCATACTGTTCTGCTTCCGCAGTGCCCAGGAGCGTGTCTTTAACTTCGCTGGTCTCCTGGACATCCCAGTACTTCTCGTCACTGACAAGAGGTGGAAGTCCACTGGACATGGCGACAACGCCATCCATATGTACAATATGCCACCATATCCGACGACGATACTCTGCTTCGCAGGGTTCAATGCCGAAATTAGCAGGGTCCCGATGCAGGCCCATTGTTTGTGCAACCCGCATAGAAAGACTAATGAATAAACTGCTCGTCAAAGGTTCTTCCTCTCTGGAGAGAATCGTCTGTACTAGAAGATAGGCAGCGAGCCCTTGTAATGATTGGCTTCGGGGAAATGATATCTCGGTCAACCATCGTGTAACCTCGTCGTTGTAGGCCTTGGAAAGCGCGGACCGTGACGAGACATTGAACTCAGCCTTGATTGTCCGTATTGAGACCGTGACTGAGCCGCCATACCAGATAGCATACAGTAGCGGGATAAACGACGGGTCTGGACAAGGCTCCCCAGAGTAGCTGCTATAATCGTACCAATCCCAGAAAGCATTGTACAATTTAAGGATAGTAGGTGGATGAATGACTGGACTTATGGCATGAATTCCGGACATGAAGCCTTTGTAGAGTATATGGCTTTGCCGTTTAGTAGGGATATGGTCAAGCATGTCGGGCTCAACCACCTTGTGTTTGACGGACGGCGACTCGCTCGAGGGGAACAAGATGGACTTCTGAAAGGTCTTGCCACGAGAGAACCTGTCTCCAACTATCGCATCGGGGCTTTCCGCTGATACCGAGCTCTTCCATTGACGATCGGGCGTCCTGACCATCTCCTCACTATAGTTTTCGTTGCGTGCAGACTCGTTGTGTGAGCGATTCTGATCTCTGAGCAATTGATTGAGTTCATTTATCTGCGTTTTTTCAGCTTGTAGCCCTAAGGAGTAGATTACTTCAACAATGAAAACATACCTCTTGGGAGATATAGGCCCAATAAGTTGTCCCAACATATCTAGTATTCGTTCAGTCAGAGCGTCCACCTGCCCACGTCTCCCGCGCATAGCTTACCTCGACCTCCCGCCGTCTTCCAAACTTAGATGACCTAGATTCAAGCTCCCGACCGGGTCCACCAGGTCAGTAGCATGACCAGCAGGTATGGGGAATTCGTCTCCGCTTGAGTCGACGCCGCGACGAGGACTGTCAGGGCGCGAATTGGCAGAATATCTCGACGGTGCACCGTTTGCTTGTCTAATTTCAGCGCTCATGGCCTCCATGTTCGCCCGTTGTTCCAACAGCTGTCGCTCCGTCTGCTCCCGCGGCTGATCAGTCTTGCTCAATCGCTCTATCATCGAAGCCAACTTGTCTAGCCGAGCCTCAATCGCCTGCGATCCGAACTTCTTCCCGTCAGGGTGCTCCGCCTGCCTCAGCTGGCCCTCGACCAACTGCATATCATCGGCATCCTGGTCCAGCGGTCGAGAAGTCTCTCTTCGTCGTTTCACACCATGAGCAGTCTCGTCTTGACCGCTGCGCGAGGCAGCGTCTTTCTGTAGCGTCGCATCGTAAACGCACTCGGTTCCGTTCTTCGTGCAATTTCCGCAGACTGGATGGACCTTTTTCACTTTTTAGCATAGCCCCTGAAAGACAACAAGATAAGCGACGACAACCGAGGCGCGTACCTTGTCGCATTTCACTTTTCGCCTCCGACAAGTATGACAACTGTAGCTCGCGCGGTTCCGAGTAATCTGGCGGCCCGTCGCACGGCGAGCTTTACCTGCCGCAGTTCTGCTCGGCGAAGGAGAACAGAACAATGGCCGAGGAGAGTCGTAGCCGGATCGAAGCTGAGGTTTGGGCCCCGAATTCGGGGGCCCGTAGCTGGGCAGGCTTCTCGTGGGGTCTGCAGTCATGATGCCTCGGTCGTAGGAATGGCGGGGTCGTCACATCAATCCATCAACGCGTAAGGACGTCGGAATGCTGCACGCGACTTGACATCCGCAGCGCAAATGTGCATTAATGTACATAAGGTTTCTGAGTGGCGGATCGTATGGTTTGTTGGACATTAGTACGAACTACAGATCTGGGGAGATGACGCCTCCGGGGTAAATGCTGGTTATCGGAGAACACCAGCCAATGACAATTACGGTTTACGAAGTTACTGACTTTCACCATTCTAGGCCCTCTTCAATTTACTGTGTACAATAAGGTAGTTTACAGGGTACCTAGAATGTGAATGCTAATCTGGCAGAGAAATTTTATTCTAATATTCACTGGAGAGAATTAAGCTGTCATGAATTCATGAGGTTGTACCTATCAGAGAACAGCATAAATGGAAAATGCCGTTTAGTCACCCACCGCACAACGCCTTTCGCCCATGCAATGCACCCAGAAGAGTAATAGATACAAGAATCAGATAGGTGACGGTGTTATATAAAGTTCTCGGCATCAGGCCTTGCCCTTCTTCTTTTCCTTCTTCTTCTTTTCGCTACCACTCGCAGACGGTTCGCCCATCATGCCAGCAAGATTGGGCATACCAGGGATCTGAGGCATTCCAGGCATTCCTCCCATGCTCTGCATCTCTGCCATGGCATCTTTGAGAGGATTATCGCTAACACCTCCACCACTGTAAGCGGGGGAATGGATCGGGAGGATCTTTCCAATCTTCCAGCCTCGGGGAGCCGGAGGAGCACCAGGAAGCTTTTCAGGCATCGGAAGGCCTTTGATTCTCAGACGGTAGGGCGATTCTTCGTTCGTTGGGTGAGCTTTGAGATACTGCGCAACAAGGATGTAGAGATGATGCTCTACAGCCAGTTAGTCTTAATTCACAATCTGCGAGAGCGTGGAGGACGGAATTGGAAAAGCAGCCAGGAGCAGTGCACGTACTGTTCTTGATCTTAGGATTGACTAGGTTGCCATCCTCGTCCTTCAACATAACCCGTACCCGTCCCGGATTCGCCCAGTCCTTCGGGTGTAACTTTTCCGGCTCAAAGCCAACATTAAGACCCAGCATTTGCACAGCATCGACAATATCCCGAGCCAACGGATTCTCAATGGCAAGCTCTGTTCCGACCTTGCGGCCTTCGGCTCGGGAACGAGTCTTATCGAAGTAGACTGGGTATAAACATTGAAAATGCTTTGGAATCTCTCGGCGAGGCTCAGGAGCTGGTGGTCTCATCGGGATATTCGAAGCACCGGGAGGAGGCATTGCAGCAGGGGAAAGGATGGAGGCTGAGGGGTCGGAGGGGGCGATCTCCTCTGGATCTGAGTCGTAGACCTCCTCGACTTGCGCGTGTCGTGACATTTTGCTGTGCGCTACTGTTGTGAAGGCAGGCGCGAGAAAATTGAAGAATTCTTATGAGTTACGGAAGCGTAGCGTCTGTCAGGGAGTCGTTGAAAGCAATAGTTGTTGTTGGTATCTTGAAGTCTGGCCTTTGAACCTTTCTGTGCGGAACGGGGTTTTAGTGCGGAGCGGAGAGCTCAAGGTTCTTGTCAACAGTTTCCGCCTTTTAGAGTACAGCTGGACCACAACTAGCTGTCTCAATAACACTACAAGATGGAACAAAATTTTTCAATGAGCAGCGTTCTTTCCAAGCAAGCATTATTGCTGGTGAGACGTGAAAGCCTGACTTTAGGGCCTGCTTGCATCCCTACAACTGGCGAAGTTTTTCTTGCATAATGAAAATATTTAATATCAAATTACCTTCCCCAGCTCAACCTGCAAGCCACTGCTAAAGGAGAAATGATTATTTGAACGAGTAGATCCAAAAAGCTCGAAGTGGCCACATGCTATGTGCCACTCCGAGCTCATCATCTCTTCCTTTTACGACTTCCGTCTGACAGCTCTGTGGGGATGACTAGGGAGAACACAGTCATCTGTGGAGACTCAGTCATACTACTTTTTTTATCCGGTCTGGACAAGACTAAGTGTGAGGCTCACGCCAGAAATGCAGCTAGGATGCACATTATGGCCTTTGACATCGCTTTTCAACTGTTCATTCCGCGGTGCCCAATTGCTATTTAACTCGGGAACATCTTCATTTTCGAACAATCAAATTTGAAGCAAAATATGGCAAGAACCCTGTTGAATCATGCAAGACGGCGCATTGAAACCATTTAGTACATGGCCATATTCGTCTAGATCAGGTGTCATTCCTTGCGATTGGACTCCGGCACCGATTCTCTCGGCGGCCGTGGTCGATCAGGGCAGCATTCTCAAGAAGATCAATTCATGGCAGAAAAATGCGCAAGCATTCTGGATCGGGCTCATGTGACCCAGATGGGAATCTTTCTTCCAATGTGATCCACTGCTGTAGTCGGAGAATGTGGTTTCTGATAGATCCCATACAAGCATCATAGGTATTCAGGTGCGTTGCAAGCTCAAACATTAGATGGCTATGCATGGTATACGGCGCGGTCATAGAGGATCTGCGCATGATGAACTATTAAGTTAGCCATTACCGCCAATGACCAATGCATTTGAGCTCATATAACTCGGTGATGAGATCCAATAAACCCTTTGCAGTGTTGTAGCCATAACTTGTAGCCGATAAGAAAACGACCTATGGATATCCATTCCCCATTCCATCACGCTTGGTGTAAAGTAGTATTAAGGAATATCCATCCTCTTACGACATCTACAGTCAGTACATTCCCTCAATCTGGAAGGTATCCAGCTAATCAAAGTGGTAGATAACTAACTAGACAGGAGGTTGATAACTGGAGGAGACCCATGATTGGTTCATACTTAACCGAGAAATGCCGAAGAAAGAATAGCGCGATGGCTGGTCGGCGATCAAAGCCAATCCTGACCTCGGCTTGGCGCATATCGGCATACCGAAGGCTCCGCCCCCACATTTGGAGAAGATGGGGTATGAGGGAGACGTTGGTGATAAGAGCGCTACCCCAGTACAGTGCGCTGGAGGCGTATAAATAGGTTGTCCTTTCTTATCATCTGCGATGCGTCGTGCTTCTCAAGCCATCTATACTCAATATTGAATCGAACCTCACTTTCATTCTTCTTCATCTTGCATAGGTAACCAAGGGTTCTTTCAATATGACTCAGGCGGGTCAAGGTGTGTATAACCGGCGTACCTATAGATGAAAGTTTCTCCGCCTAACATCGCATAGTGTCCAATACTCGCAGTGCTGTTCTGCATAGAGACACACGCTTTATTCCCAAAAAAGCCGTTGGCGGTAAAGGCAGCTATATCTTCCTGGAGGACGGAACAAAATTCCTCGATTCCACAGGCGGTGCTGCCGTTTCTTGTCTAGGCCACGGCCACGAGAAGGTCACTCAGGCTGTCGCTGACCAGCTCAACCAGCTTGCCTACTGCCACACTGCTTTCTTCGGTACCGAGGTATCGGAAGAACTTGCTCGATTCCTATGCGATTCGACGGGGGGCAGGCTTTCCAAGCTTTATGTCGTCAGCTCTGGTAGGCGATGGTACTCAAATTTGGGACAATTCAGCTTTCTAATCTGGTTGATCACAAACAGGCTCCGAAGCCGTCGAAGCCGCACTTAAACTCGCACGCCAGTACTTTCTCGAAGTATCCCCAGCCCAACCACAACGAACCCGGTTTATCGCGCGCCTGCCATCTTACCATGGAATCACACTCGGCGCCCTAGCAACAGGAGGCCACGTCCTGCGTCGCCAGCCCTTTGAGCCTCTTCTCGCACAAAACACCTCCCACGTCTCGCCATGCTACGCTTATCGCGGAAAGAAAGACGACGAGTCGGACGCAGATTACGTCGCACGACTAGCTGCAGAGCTGGATGCGGAGTTCCAGCGAGTGGGACCAGAAAACGTGTGCGCGTTTATCGCTGAGCCGGTAGTTGGTGCGGTGAGTACTTTACCATCAATTCGTCACCGTTTTTCTCGCATGCTAATCTCGACATTTCTGGGTTGTCCAGGCCCTCGGTGCCGTCCCTGCCGTCCCGGGCTACTTCCCGGCCATGAAAGCCATCTGCGAAAAGTACGGCGCACTTTTTATTCTTGACGAAGTGATGAGCGGCATGGGTCGGTGCGGAACCCTACACGCATGGGAAGATGAGGGCGTGGTTCCCGACCTCCAGACTATCGGCAAGGGACTCGGAGGAGGATATGCCCCTGTTTCTGGTCTCTTGATCGGCGAGAAGGTCGTGCAGGCGATGGACAAGGGCACTGGCGTTTTTCGACATGGACAGACGTACCAAGGCCACCCCGTCGCTTGTGCAGCTGCGCTGGCGGTTCAGAAGACCATCAAGGAAGAAAACCTTCTTGAGAATGTGCGGGCCATGGGTACTTATCTGGAAAAGCAACTCAGAGCGCGGTTGGAGGCTCATCCGAATGTGGGGGATATAAGAGGAAAGGGGTTGTTCTGGGGGGTACGTCGCCATCTACATACGCGTATCGAAGGGAAAATGCTGACCAACGCGATTATAGATTGAGTTCGTCAAGGATAAGGCCACAAAGGAGCCTTTTGCTCCAGAGACTGCTGTCGCCTTCCACGTCCAGGAGACAGGCCTGAAGCCAGTCCATGGAATCTCCTTGTATGCGGCGAGTGGATGCGTTGATGGCATACGCGGTGACCATGTCCTTCTCGCTCCTCCTTACAATGTGACTAAGGAGGAAATTGATCTCATCGTTGAGACGGCGGGGAAGGTGATTGAAGAGGTCTTTGCGAACATCAGCAGTGTCTGAATGACAGTAATACTCTACAACAGTTAATTGTGCCTTTTATGATTACTCGAGCGCCGGTATGGCATTATTTATGACGAAATGCTGTGGCAGAAGCTACTGATAAAGACGACCGTCGATGCTTTATATCAAAATCCATTCGCATTGCAGAATCTTTATGTTCATTCGTAGTTCTCAAAATGATAAATGACCTTCGCCGAAAACACCTCCTTGCCTTTGGCCAGGTGAGTCCTTCACTGTCAAAAGGATGAACTATTGTTACATATTAGAATGAAAGACATTTAAGCCTTTGCCTCAATTTCAGTGCTCTTTGAAAGAGCCGCCTCCTTGGTGCCTTGCGTCCCATTTGCGACGGGGGCTGACGGAGGTCCTTCACCCCACATGCTGGCGACAGTCTCTACAGCCCGTTCAATGACCACGCGGACTCTGTCTCTGAGCACGGCGTTTGCACACTCGACCTCGAGATTTTCGAGCCATACCCGCGCGATGTGTTTATCAACCTTGATCTCAATTCCAGGATAAGGAATCCCAAGTGCTTGAAGACGAGCAAGTTCAGCCGCTTCAATTTCTTCTGCGTCCTCGTCCTCCTCGTCCTCCTCGACGTCCTCTTGAGACTCAGCAGGAGTTTCACCTACGGCATCAGACTCGGTCTTGACGGCGGCTGATACCGACGGATCGCCCTTGGTTACGCCGTTCGCACGAATACCAGAAGGAATGCGGGGTCGTTCAATGGGTACAATGTCCGACCCAAATTGCGCCTCTAGCATCATGAGCAGATTCTCAAATCTCTCTTCAGGTCCTTGGTGGGCATGGGGATTAGGTAATTCCAGGTCGCTATGATGGTGGTGATGGTGCTTGAGCTTTGCGGATTCTGCGGTCATTGGTGGTTAGCATGAAATGCTCCGTGAATGAGAAAGGGATCAGCATACGCTTCACCGATGCAGGACTGCTCTCAACTGTGAGCAGCACAGCCATAACTGCGTCAGCAACACCGTCATTCATCATGTTTCCCTCCCATTCCAGTTCTACCTCACGTGTCCGAGAGTGATAACGGATGAGAACGCAGCCCATAACGAGGTATGTCTGCGTCTCCTCCATCGGGATCTCCTCATCTGCAGGCTCTTCTTTCATTTCATGCTCTCCGTTGATGGCCTTTGCGGACTCTTCTTTGACCTTACCCTGTTCGCTGCTACCAAGTTCTTCGATAGCGCCAAAGGTACCCTCAAGTGCCCATCGGATAAGATCCATACTTGCAGAGCTAAGTGTGATATGCTGCTTGCATGTTATGGAGGTTGTTGTTAAACCAGCATACTCGCGGAGGTCGTCAGGCGCCATCAGCGACAGATCAAATCCATTCTGAACCAAGACACCGGACATTAAACGACCATCGTCCTGATCCGAAGGAGGAGCGACTTGGGCTAATCTGCCAACAACTTTCGCGACCTTGTCTTTTCTGAATGGGATGCGAACTTCATCGCAATTCGCAGGAGTATAGACTTTGACTTTGACGGTTTTGTCGGCATTGAGACTAAGTAATTTCGACTTGAGTCGCATCATCTGATGCTTCTCGCCGTGAACAAGGATCTGGGAGATATTAGACCACCGACTCATTGGTTAAGGATGC